AAACGTCGTGCAACTCATCACATTTACAGAGCAGAGGGGGGGGGGGGGAGGGGTAATTCGAAACACCGCTCTGAACCCCCACCCCATCCCAAACTTAAAGTCCTGTACTTACGGCTCTGCGATTCACAGAATAATCCGATGAATCCAGGGGCACAAATACAACTAAAATCGGTTGAAGAATTAACACAACTTCCTCCATGCCAGCAGGGGTTACTTTCGCAGGAATCATCTGAGGCAAAAAGTATATAATTATTCATAAATCTTCATGAATATTAAGTCAAAAACGAGAATTACATCAAAACCGCACCCAAAATGGAAGCAAGGGAATTAATGTGTTTGACCTACAACCCATTCACTGGTTCGGCTCTTATTGGGGAAATGATGTACGCTTGAGAGGTTGAAAGGAGATTAACGCCATGAGGGCGCACTATAACCGGCGTACAAGCTGCCCATGTTCAGGCCGAGTTGTTTTTTATTTGCAGCACACATCGTCAATGATCACAATTATTCAGCTAGTCGATGTTTATTCATAAGAAAATAACAATGTCGTCACACCATTATATCACTCAGTCATGCATGTACATTTTAGCATTTCAAAGAACGGCTTTCGTCGAGCTGCCACAGTGGCCAAGTGGATAGTGGAACGACCCATGGATCGCAAGATCTGTGGTTCGAAGCCGTGTCCATTTTCATCATAAGCTTTTTTTTTTGGCGGGGGGTGGGGGTGGGGGAAGTTTAACTGAAGAGAAAGCACCATGAGTAGGGTTATTACGGTGCCTGGAAGCAGTGGAGTGTGAGAGGGTGCAAACCGAGGGTACCCGAGGCCGTGGGATGCAAGCGGTGAAGCGTGAGGATGTTCAGGCAATAAAAGGATGTTCAGGCAATATTTAAGACCAACCAAATTGAAAACAAAAACCCAAAAATCTTTGCCCAACCTAGAAACGGATTGAAATTTTTATCAAAAAGAACTGAGTTATGATTAATCAACATTTGGTTGTTTTTCATTCTTCTGTTCTAGTTTTCTTCCCTGCTATGTTTTCTCTGGTTTTCCTTTTTTTCGATACAAAGTAACTGTGGGCAGTATTCTGAACAAGTTCCACTAATGAATGTAGTTAACTTAATGTTTTAATTACCTTGAATTAAAGAAAATAATGCTAGAGCATTAACTTATCTCTTTTCCTTATAATGCACAAATAGGTACAAAGTGCACGGGTACGGTGCGATACTTTTTTTATGCGGAAACATATTAATTATTTTCCATGAAATCAATGAAATGAATGCTTCAAACAATACTTCAAACAATGATATGTTCATACTTCAAACGATGAAATGTTTCTGGAAGCCGACAGTTAAAATAATGTACAAATACCGGTACTTTGGTTATCAATTGGGAAATTCCCCCGTATGTAGCGATTAGAAATGAAATATCAAGCCCAGACCCCACCTGCTAAAGCTTGTTGGGCTCAAGTTCCTCGCATATACTCACCCTTTTCCTGCACGTCTATAGGCCTAATAAATTCATCCCTTCTAAAAAAAAAGTCGCCTTTGTTCTCTTGTGTTATTGAACAAAATCCCTTAACACTCCCGGTTAACACGTCCGGACAGACGGTTACTCGAAGAGAAAACGTCTGGACAGACTTCGACCCGAACAGGAAATAGAACAGTCTGCACCCTGGCTGTTTGTACTTGTACAAACTTACCAGTTGAAAATACATGGCCTGTCACATGAAATTGAAGTGTGCGGGTCCTTTCATCAAGTGAAAAAAAGCCACCGTGGGACTGGTTTTGCCAACATTCAAACGGGTCCCGGAAATTCACGCTTCAATTACCGATAAAAATGACGTATTTTTACAGCTCCTTATTTAAACACGTCTCATCGCCCCGACGGAAACAAAAATGTTTTTTTATGCTCCAGCAAAAATTGAGCGCCAAAGATGTGGCAGTGAACTTTGTCAACTCTAAAGATTTTCTTTGTTGTATTTCCAAACCAGTTCAAGCTGATAACGTGATATTGGACTTGCTTTCAGGGCCAGCCCTGACAGGGTTGTAAATGGTTACTACACAGACTTTAGTGGCTAATAGTCACATTTAACTGGAGTGCTTTCATAGTGTATATCGCGCTAGTTCCTGGTGCAAGACTTAACAACTATTCTGTGTGTCTCTGACTCACTGTCGATTGTAAGCCGGGCAGTGCTATTGTGTAGGATTACCCGTTCACAGCGCCATTGAATGGGCCACATCCGGCCATGGCATACACCACATGCATGACAATATTATAGGAAAACTGGGGAGACGATTGGGAATGCGGAAATCAAAGGACATTTTGTAGAAGTTTCATACTTTGTCAAACAGTATGAAGCGAGGCACGTACGGGCCCCTGGACTTTCTTTATTGACATTGCGCCATAATGCAAATATAAGCCCTTTTGTACTGAGCAAACCAACATGTTTCCTTTTTGACTCTTTTTCGTTTATTATGTCTCGCAGTTTGTGGTTGACGGTTGAGCGGTATGCGGAAGGAACTCGCAATCAAGGACTTTTAGGGGAAAAAAATGAATAGTCGCGGAGGCTTGAGGTGAAAAAAACCCAACATCAACAACATACACACACACGCAGGCTGTTGACTGAGAGTTATTTCAATAACATCGAGTACAAGGGAATTCCCCTTTGTATGCCCAAACTAGTTGCCTTGAACCTACTATGTTTTATCCATGGAAACCTTTGGTCAAAATTCATGAACTGTAATGATGTTTCACGCAGTATTTAAGGAACGACAACAAAAAATGAGATGCATCGAAAGATGCAGCTGGTCGTTGCACACATTTGAACACTATGAAATGGACTCCCAGGTAGCACACCGACGTTGGCCCGACGTCGGTTTTGGTCGACGATCAGTCGGCAAAGTCGGTAAATGGTCGGGTCGGTCCAAGTTAGTCTCACGTCGGAAATGGACTAGTCATAGTGTTCAAAATGACTATTGACTATTCATCCCCCCCCCCCCCCTTAAAGTTCTTGATCGAGTTCCTTCCGCATACTGCTCATCCGTCAACCACAAACTGCGAGACATAATAAACGAAAAAGAGTCAAAAAGGAAACATGTTGGTTTGCTCAGTACAAAAGGGCTTATATTTGCATTATGGCGCAATGTCAATAAAGAAAGTCCAGGGGCCCGTTCGTGCCTCGCTTCATACTGTTTGACAAAGTATGAAACTTCTACAAAATGTCCTTTGATTTCCGCATTCCCAATCGTCTCCCCAGTTTTCCTATAATATTGTCATGCATGTGGTGTATGCCATGGCCGGATGTGGCCCATTCAATGGCGCTGTGAACGGGTAATCCTACACAATAGCACTGCCCGGCTTACAATCGACAGTGAGTCAGAGACACACAGAATAGTTGTTAAGTCTTGCACCAGGAACTAGCGCGATGTACACTATGAAAGCACTCCAGTTATATTTGACTAAACCACTAAAGTCTATGTAGTAACCATTTACAACTCTGTCAGGACTGGCCCTGGAAAGCAAGTCCAATATCACGTTATCAGATTGAACTGGTTTAGCCTTTAGTCAAGTCCCACGCACTTACCGGGCGCGATATTTTTTTTTACACAACTATCTGGGGTACTTTGTGCGCTTTCCTATGGGGCTTGGTTTAAATAACCAGGCTTGAGTGGAGGCTACTATTTTTCAACTTGGTACGGATTTCGGACTTTATTTCCCTTTTAAAAAAAATCCTCCAGAGCCTCAGATCAGGAAAAGAAAAAGGAAATTGCTGCTATACAAGTAGTATCCAACTGAAAAATAACGTTTTTAAGATTCAACTTAAAATTGTTGAAAAAAAGAGCAGAATCTTCGTAGGCAGAGCGAGGAATCGAACTCGAGACCTCCGATCATTAGCCAGCATGCCTAACCACTAGGCCACGGCGGTGCTCAAAATATCCGTGCAATTCATAAATTATATACTTTCACACATGTGGAGAGAGTATACGCGCGCGCGCGTAGGTTACAGGATTGTAGAGCGCCGCTACGCGGCGCTCTACAATCCTATAACCGTGATTCAAGTCGCCTGAAAAATGGATACCCCCAGATAGTTGTGTAAATAAAATAATCGCTACCCGGACACGTGACGCACAACGGATGCTGGCACGTAAAAAGACTAGCACGAGCGGCAAAGCCGTGAGGGCCTTTACCATCTCGTGGAGAACGCTTATGTTTTTCTTTACATTTGTCTACCGATTTGGTAGACATGCATAATGCATTACCCGTTGTGAATTGACCAATGAAAATGCAGAATTACTAACGTAAATCAGCCGTCGTCTGGCGCCAGACAGCACGCGCCATGGCGCGCTTGCTGTTGCTGGTAACCGCAAACCACCGTTAGATGATTGGCTTATATTGCTTGATGTATATTATGTGAATAAATGAATAAGTGATTAGTTCCACGAGATAGTAAAGGCCCTCGCGGCTCCGCCGCTCGTGCTAGTCTTTTTACGTGCCAGCATCCGGGATGCGTAATTACGTGTCCGGATGATCCGGGTATAGGCGCGTGGGACTTGACTAAAGGCTAGAACTGGTTTGGAAATACATCAAAGAAAATCGTTAGAGTTGACAAAGTTCGCTGCCACATCTTCGGCGCTCACTTGGTTGCTGGAGCATAAAAAATGTAATGATGGGATGAATTTTCTTTCCATCGAGGTATTGACGTGTCCAATGATGGAGCTGTAAAACAAATTGTCATTTTTATTGGTATTGAAGCGTGAAATTCCAGGACCCGTTTGAATGTTGGCAAAACCAGTCCCATGGTGGCTTTTGTTCACTTGATGAAAGGACCCACACACTTATTATTGTTTCGATTTGACGTGACAGGCCATTTATCTTATCTTATTATTGTTTCGATTTGACGTATCTTTAACTGCCAAGTACATACAAACAGCCAGGGCGCAAGCTGTTCTATTTCCTGTTCGCGACGAAGACTGTCCAGACGTTTTCTTGTCGAGTATATAGCCGTCTGTCCGAACTGCGCACGAACCATATCGTAGATTGGGAGTGAGAAAGTAACATTCTGATAAACGTGACTGAAGAAAGGTCCGTTAGATTGTTCGACGTCAGGTTTAGCTTGTTCGACATCTAGAATGGATACCGGAAAAGGAGTGAACACATACCTGTTGATGGTGTTCGCTTTTCTGTTGGTTTTGATCGCCAAGTTTCCAGTCAAAGCTCAAACTGAAGGTAAGCCTCTTTTCGTAAAATAGGGTAAAACACACAGCATTATTATCGTCGAACACGATGAATTGGCCAGCGCCAGCCTCTTTAATGGGGATCTCAGTATGGATAACTGTTGCCGTGCCACATTTTGAGACTGTAGCTTTATCGACAGTTGGGATTTTCGACTGAAATATTTTGGCGGGAACTGTATTGAAGAGTTGTGTGGTTCTGAGAAGAACCAGTTGATTGTTTAACTCGACTTTTCGAACAGTATGCTCTGTTCACCATCAGCAGGCTGCCGGACTCTTGCTGGTGGAGTAAGTGGACGCTACGTTTAGTAGTCCGTTGAGGCGGGAGGTTCTGAAACACGATGCTAAGTTCGGTGGACCGTTAATTAAGGGACTTAAGGCGGGAGAACATATTGAATAGGAGATAACATAACTAAGAAGTTTTGGAGCATTTTAATCGATAAGAAAGTTTTATGGGATTTTGATAACTTTGATAACACAAGAGAACAGATGCGACTTGTTTTGAGAAGGGATGGATTTATTAGGCCTATAGACGTGCAGAAAAAGGGGCGAAAATTGGCGTGGAACTTGAGCACTGCACATATAAGAGGGAATTTCCCAATTGATAACCAAAGGTACCGGTATTTGTACATTATTGTAACTGTCGGCTTCCATTGAAGGATTGTTTGAAGTGTTCAATTCATTGGTTTCATTGAAAAAATTTAATATGTTTCCGCATAAAAAGTATCGCACCGTACCGGTGCACTTTGTACCTATTTGTGCATTATAAGGAAAAGAGATAAGTTAATGGTCTAGCATTAGTTTCTTTAATTCAAGGTAATTAAAACATTAAATTAACTACATTCATCAGTGAAACTTGTTAAGAATACTGCCCACAGTTACTTTGTATCGACAAAAAAAGAAGGAAAACCAGAGAAAGCATCGCAGGGAAGAAACCTAGAACAGAATGAAAACCAACCAAATGTTCCTTCATCATAATAATAACTCAGCTCTTTTTAATAAAAATTTCAATCTTTTTCAAGGTTGGCCAAAGATTTTTTTGACTTTGTTCAATTTGGTTGGTTTGAAATATTGCCTTATCGTCCTTTTAGCCTTTTCAGATCTTAAAGTTCTTTTTTTTTAAAAATCAATACACCCTAGTAAACAGGAAAAAAAGACTGCAACTTTTTTTTTTCTAAGTAGAGCACTAATGCCGCAAAAAGTAAGTCTTTTTTGCTCAGTAGTCTTGCTCTCGGGGTGCAGCTCAGTTAAAAACAACAAATTCCTTTAGACACCAATGATCCATCCCCCCTACTTCAAAAATCTTTGAAAAATACTCGGAACTTCCACAGGTGTTCAGGCTGCACAGAAAAATGATGATCAACATGTCATCTTTCATTTTCAAATTCCTATACCGGTACCCAAAGAAGACCACCCCTAAAACGAATGATATTTCCCAAACTGGAAAAGTACACTCGAAAAAAAAAACCAGTTTGACTAGAAACCAGTTAAATTTGTCTAGCCATTCAGGGTCAGCTGGGTGCAACTGAAAATCAGTCAATCAGACTAGATTGTTCCAGTCAGTATTATTGATTATAAGAAAAATAGTTAAGCAAATACCTGAAATTGGAGTCAAATCAATCAACTTTTTCCAGTCATAGTATGAAACTCTGCATGTTTAACTATATTCCTATTCAATTTTCAGTAACTAACCAGTCAATGCTTTGACCAAGTTGTTTTTAGAGTGTATGGCCACTTTGAAAAAGTATCCCTCCAGAACATGGCTAAAACAGTAGCGCTAATTTCGGACCCAATTGCACCCAAAATGCTTAGAATTGGTAGCTCCAAGTGTAGGCCAGAGGTGCAGTGCCATAGGTCCTCAATTCCCCAATTTAATGGCGCTCAGAACTCTCTAATAATTATAGAATAATTTGAACGTATAACTTTCATTCATTAGCTCAGCGGACGGATTTTTTGGCTTGTTTACTGTGTTGCATCCTTTAATATACCCGAAATTTCGATATTTTCCATTAACCACTTTTACGGCAAGATAAAGAGCGATAACTCATATATTTAATTGATAAACATGGGGATAACATTCTCTGAGGTCGATATCAGGCCTGAACATGGGCAGCTTGTATGCCCATTCCCCAGTTATAGAGCTCCTCTCAGCCCCCAAGTGGACTTTTTCGAAAACACCATAATTTTTCGAAGATACATGTACATCATTTCTCCAACAAGAGCCGAACCACCGAAGGGTGATTGGTCAAACACATTTATTCCCTTGTTCACATTTAATTGGAAGGGTGTGGTTATGATGTGGTACATGTTTCTGATTTTAAATATTCATGAAGATATATAAATATTGATCAACTCTTTGCCACAGATGATCCCTGCACAAGTAACCCGTGCTGGAATGGAGGAAGTTGTTTGAATTCTTCAGCCGATTTTACTTGTATGTGTGCCCCTGAATTCATTGGATCATTCTGTGAATCGAAGAGCCGTAAGTGCATAGGACGTATGTGTGGGGGTGGGAGGTGTTTCAGAGCGGTTTTTCGAATGACGCCCCCCCCCCTCCGGTCTGTAAATGTGATGAGTTAATTCAGCTCGGTGCATTCTTTTAAGATAATAATGCACAAAACCGTGTCGGCGGTGTTGAATTAAGGGCAAGAATACCGCATTTTCACTCACTGCATCGTTTACAAAACAGCCAGGGCGATGTACGTCTTTTATATATATTTGCATTCCTGCTTTGTATTCCATTGCCGTCAGCTTTCGTCGTGTCACTTTTGTCTTGTCTGTCTCGTCTGTGTTTCGTTATAGTGTCGTTTTTCTGTGGTTATTGTTGTCTGTAAGGGCTGTTTCTTACAAACCTCGGCTTACTTTAACAACTCCATACTTCTTATTTTTATTCTCTTATAAACCAAACATATTTATCGAAGTTATCTTGCTATGTACCAGATTTCTTTTATTGATGTATTTCTCTAAAGGAGTATGAAATAAATGTCTTCTTGAATTGAATTGAATACATCGTATGCAAACCACAGATCCTTCAGTAACGATAATTAGCATGCAACGTACGTATTGCAGGACGCTGTTAAATGCACTTCATGATCGGGTACTGTGTGTTCACAATGTTGCGTACGTGTACCTACAATGTATACGCAAGTTCTGTAGTGAGCCTTGGCCTAATGCGCGTGCTAATGGCTTGCCCTTGGGCAAGCCATTTTCTGAGCTGTGGGCAGAGGTTGTGTGTTTGATTCAGCCAGTGGTGTATATATGATAGCATCGAGCTTAGATGGTCTGTGGATCATTTTTATTGGCCGTACGAGTTGGGATAATAATAAATATGTTCTTTGTTTTCCTTGATTTCCTTTAGACCCTCGTGACTTGGTGTTTGTGACCAATAGGTCTCCTCCCGGCATTTATGTCGCACCCACAGACACCTTTAACTTCACTCTCATCCCGGGTTTAGACGGTAGCCATGTCAACATAAGTCGACCCTACGCCATTGACTACGACCCAGTAGAGCGCATGGTGTATTGGACTGATGTCACCTTGTTGACTTTAAATCGTGCCTTTTTGGACGGGAGTGGAGTGGAAGTTCTCTTTAGGGATCTACAGCGTAAGCCAGTTTTGCGTCATTGTGTGTTTGTGCTGGTCCCAGTGGGCCAAACTATTGCTCTCTTTTGTGCCTAGTGGCTGGCTGGCTGGCTGGCTGGTTGGCTCGCGGCCTTTAACTTTTGACCTGGGCAGTGCTATCGTATAGGATTAACCCTGTCCTGCCAATTGTGTAGATCAATTAAATATAATTGTGTGTACTCTGGAACCAGCTTTAATGTGCTTGCCTAGTCTTGTTTCCTATGGATTTAGAGGGTTTCCTATCGAGTTGAGAGAACTCTTGATGGCCGGCCGCCTGGCCGGCCAGCCAGCTGTACGTTGTGACCTGGGCAGTGCTATCGTATAGGGTTAACCCTGCCCGGCATATTGTGTAGATTAATTAAATTTAATTTTGTGTACTCTGGAACCATACAGCTTTAATGTACTTTCCTGGTCTTGTTTCCTCTCGATTTAGAAGGTTTTCTTGCCATTTCTTTTTAGATCCTCCTGGTTTGACTCTTGACGTTGAGAATCGTGTGATGTATTGGACGGATTCTGGCAGTGATCTGATCGAGAGAGCTACTTTGGACGGTCGAGAACGATCAGTGGTTCTCAACTTGACAAATGCTTCCCTCGCATATGTAAATCCAATGGGGATCGTAGTCGACCCTGCTAACAGGTACATTCACGAGGTTCACCATACCATTGGAGCATTTCAGATTTTGCTCTGGCCGCCATATAACCTTTGTGATAAGGGGCGACAGATTCCCTAACTACTGCTTCATTCTACTGTGTTTGTCTTGCAGTCATTTATACTGGACAGACTGGGGTACCGTACCAAAGATTGAACGATCTGGCACAGACGGATCTGGTCGTCGCGTACTTATCGATACTTCGCTACAGAACGCATATGGTGTAGCCCTTGATCTGGAGGGTAAACTTTGCCTGCGTTTTCCTTCATTTGTGTTTTTGTTAATTGCCATATCAGAAACAAATCCCTTGTTGGACTTGATAGACTATGTGCATAACGATTTCCAAAGTTATAAAAAAGGCATAACGATTTCTCCAGTTATAAAAAAGTTGAACGAATGTGACATTGCATGGTTTCCTGGTTGAGTTTATAGGATGATTATTGAAGGAAGGCACTAGCAAAAGTGCAAACAGTTTGGATCTGTGTGAATTGCATATATACATGTACATGTAGAAGCAACCTCGTCCCCAGTGCTTACTTTATTTCCAACCTCGTTTCCAATAGTAAGCCCTGGATAAGAAACTTTCTTTCTGTATCCTGATTCGATACCACAATACGGGCGATTCCCAATAGTGCGCCTCCAAGAGTTTGCAACGCGTTGGCCAATCACAATGCACGAAATCAGTCGACCTTTTCCAAACGCGCATTGGGTCGACAGATTTTGCGCATTGTGATTGGCCAACGCGTTGCAAACTCTTGGAGGCGCACTATTGGGAATCGCCCGTATTGGTTAGTAATGGATTTATATCGTGTACTTAATGTTGGTATTTCCAACGTGCATTACGTGTTTTCACAATATTATTGTTATTATAACGTCCCCGCCTTCTCAAAAATAATCTTTTCCTTTCCAATTTGCTCATATTAATATGAAATGTGATAAAATATGAAATGTTGCATATTGGCGGGATAAGATTGTAACATTTTAACTTCGAAAACAATCGTGTTTTCGTAACTCATGGCGCGACGAATTTTTGTTTTAACCTAGACACCGCATACAAAAACAAACGCTATTGTAACGTACAGACAGGCACCAGACTATTCCTCATTTGCATACGTGTGCACAAATTTAGCACATGCAAATGATCCAGTACCAGGGTAAGAGAGCAGGTAGTGGTGGGTGCGTACTGCTCGACACACTGGGGACGAGGTTGATATAGAAGCAATGCCCCTCTTCCCCTCCTCCCCCCCCCCCAAAAAAATAATAATAATAATAAATGATAATAATAATTACGGGAAATGGTTCATTATTTTGGGAGACGTTCCCATAGACTTGTGAAAAAAAATTGTCAAACTTTAATGTGCCCTAACCTAATATTGCCTTGTCCTTTTCCACGAATTTCGGTATGTTTACTAATTAGACCACGAGCAACAAATATAACCTAATTGCGACGGTAAAATTGTGACATTAGGGAGACATGTCTCCCTAATGACCGATGTCTCCCATCGTGCGAAGAAATTACGATAATGGTGTCTCCTTAATGTTACCATTACACTAATAATAATAATAATAAAAATAGTAGATGAAGATTAATGATATTACTTTGATACGACTCCTTGTTCTTCAGGGGGAAGGCTGTACTGGTGTGATTGTTGGACCGACCGCATTGAATACTCGGATCTTTTAGGCCAGGGTCGGACTGTTCTTGTCAACGGCACAAGTTCCTACCTTCCTTTATTTGATCTCTTCGTCTACTATAACTTTATCTACTGGACCGAAGGGTCATCATCCACCATTATGCGTGTTGAGGCTTCGGGAAGGCTTTTGGGGAATCATGGCTCAGAAAGTTTTACCTATTCTCATGGAATTCACATATTTAAATGTAATTAATCCATTAGCACTCGTATTACATTGTCGTAAACTGTATGCTTATATAGCTCTTTCTATTGTGCAGGGTGAGTCGAAAAGAAAGTTGATCCAGATTAAATATTTTGTTTCCTAAAAAGCAATCAAATTTGATACACCAACGAAGTATGTCTTAAAAAAGCATGTTCTTCCACTCATTTAAAAAAAAAACTACTAAAATTGATCATTGCCATTTGAAGGTATACATGTTTTACTGAAAGAACCAATTTATAGCTGTCCATGGAATGCCATAGGAAGCTATTGAGCTGAGTAACGATTATAAAAACACACACACACAAACATTCAAGTACAAATGAGATTTTAATGATTGAAATCGGACTGAACCATTATTTTTACTGTCAGATTTTGTGTTATGAGGAACAATTCCACTCTTTTTTCCCCTGAACTTATTGAATGACAGTCTTAGATAACGAACCTCCGATGTTCAGTGGTTGCCCTGGTGACGTCATCATCCCTGCCAAGCCATCGTCCAATGAAGTGGCTTACAGCTGGCCTCCACCTCTCATCTCGGACAATGCTGGTCCTGTGGATGTCACGTTCAGTTGCCAAGCAACCAAAGTTTTGAAATGTAACCGAACCGGCAGTGGGGTCTTCACAGTTGGTGTTACTTCAGTGATCTACAACGCTACTGATACATCTGGCAACCATGCCACGTGTCTTTTTAAAGTCACCGTCACAGGTTTGTACACAATTAGCTTGTTCGCTTTTCCACGTATCTTTGAAGGCATCATTAGTTTGTGTTTTCTTCTTCTTCTTCTTCTTTTGGAAGGGGGGGGGGGTCCATGAGCAATGGGCACCATTTTAAACCCAGTTGCTCTGTATATGCAAGAAATTATTATGGTATATAACAATATCTCTTCATATATTTTTTTATTGAATATTTAGTGGTGGATCTAGTATGCCCAGCAAATTTCACAGTCGATGCGGAGCCAGGTTTCACCTGCATATTTCGAGTTGGTGTTTTTGTCTCTTAAGGTTTTTGTCCAGCCGGCACCACGAATGATGATCTTCATGGCCGGTTGATGTGGCTTGCAACAAGAAGAGGCACAACAGCAGAATCGTTCGAGAGATGCTCGCTTATGACATCAAAAGGTGAGATGATAATTAATGGACCGATCCAGTAAGCACCACCCCATGGTGTTCTGACCAATCAGACGTGCGTGTACTAACATGCGTGCATGCGCGTATGATGCGCGCGGCAGGAAAATGCAGCGTGGCATTGGAGAGAAGCACGTGTTAATTTGCCCACGTGCGCACTGGGCGGAGCTTGCTGGATCGGCCCACTGTGAAGCTAATAATAAAAATATAATAGTTTGGAGGCTAATACATGTACTTGCAGCAGAAGCTGAATTGCGAAGGACGCGGCTACACGTGGCCGAACCAAAGGCATGTGAAATTAATGTGCCTTTGGCTGCCGCCATAATTATGACCCGTGTCTGACCACGGAGCACAGCCAGAGATCGAAAGTGTTGATATTTTTGGAGGGAGGAAAAGCGGAGAGCTCGGAGAAAAACCCTGGCACAGAGAGAATCAACCAACTCTACTCACACAATGGTCTAAGCTGGGAACCAAACCGGGCCAAATTGGTGAGAGGCGAGCGTTTTATGGCACTGGCTACCCATGCCACCCTAGTGCCAACTGCCAAGCTAGTATGATTGAGATGACACGACCTTACTAAGGCATCATATGTGAAGGGTTCTCTTAGAACCAGATATACTTTTGGGCCGATCTTGAAATTAAATACATAACAACTGGAAAGCACTCAAAGAGCGCAAACCTCCGCCAAGGCTCAACAATTCCCCGCCATATTGTCAGTATACCTAAAAGAAATACTCGCATCAATGGTGAAGAATCCTTAAAAACAAATCCTGGATCCAGACCCAGATCCGGATTACTTCCAAAATCTACTCGATTTGTACTTTGGACCAACAACTCAAAAGCAAATCCGTCCATAACTTTTGGAGTTATTTGTAAACAGGCAAACCAACCAACAAACCAACGCCGCTGAAAATTTAAACTCCTTGGCGGCAGTAATAAATGAGATTTGATGAACGGTTGCTCAGTACAAAGTATGCCGTTTTCATTGCCTCATGATGAATGATGAATGCTTGTTGCCCAGAAAAACAAATGTACCTTCTTCCTTTGGTACACTTAGATAATGACTTTACCCATAACTTTCACATGATTCTCTGTTTTCGTTTGTGATATCACTAACCTCAGGTCAGCATATCGTTTCCAAGTAATCTGTCATTGTGAAGGAGACAAATCTATATTTAAACAGAATTGGTTTAATTTACTCTTCTAGAATTTGAAGGTTAAAGTCTAATAGATAGGATGTTCCTTTTTCATTAGATTAAAAAATACCACACTTTTGATAATATGTTGGTTAATTTTGCATACAGCTGGGGACCCGTTAGCTGTTCGCAACTGCTCCATTGTAGCTCCGCCGTTATATTTCCAGTGGGGAAACCACGTACCTCGCAGTTGTGGGGAAGAAAGAAACAATCTAACTCTGGATCAAGTCAAAGATGTAAGCTTTGAAGTTCAGACCTTTAGAATAGTTATAAAGTTGAATCGGTTATAACCGATAATGTAACAAAAGTTGACTGATAGTGAAGTAATATTTGCTACATGCATCATTCAACTTTTACATCATCGGTGATACAGTATCGGTCAATTGTGACATTATCGGTTGGTGATACCTTATCCGTTGGTTACTACATTATCAGTTTAACAGGCTTCCTTCAAGAGTTCTAAAGTTATATCGTTATTCATGACGCAATGTTTGAGATTCATTGTGTATTGTTGTTCAATTTATATGTCGTAATTCTATTTAATGTTTAATTCTTTTTATTGACTGGAAGGCTTCATTAAGAAACTGAATCAGTGTATCCATATTGCATTTGGCAGGTTAACGTCAGTAAAGGGAACGTGAATGAAGTGGCTGAGTTTTTGGCCAATCAGACCTCAGAGTCAAGTGAAAGTGCAGAAAATGTGCAAGCGGTCTCCACCATTTTGATGAACATTGTCGGGGCAGGATCAGGAGATCGTGAGGTAGCTTAATTATAAAAAGCAAATGTGTTAAACTAAAAAGTTGCAATTTGTGGAAACCGAGGAGCGAATAGATCTTCACAATAGTGACATTTCACCGATTTCAAGGTTGTGGCTTTATAGTAGATGGCAAACTTCTCAATACTCCAATTGATTTTGTCCCAGCTTTTTAGGGTTTCTAGTTGGGACATAACACAGGCAACTGTGTAAGATTGACTTGCAAAGGACACTCATGCACATCTGATTGAAATGCATTTTCACAACAGGCATGGGGGTCAAGGAAAGTAGAGTATTCGTAGCATTACTCCAAAGTTCCATAGATGCTTTAGATAATAAGCGACTGTCTGACTGATGTAGCCGGACACTGGTGTGGAAATGTTGAGTTTGTGCTATATGCAAATTTCACGTACCATCTTGTGTTATTGATGAGCACCATGTGATCATGGTTTAGCCAATCAGAATAAAGAATCAGCAAAGAGTCTGTTATAAGGAAATTATTGACAAAGCATTTACAATTTCCAAAGATACTTACCTGTTACCTCACTGATGGCACACACTGCCTGCACATACTTGAACAAACATCCAAAGTAAACTGTGTACACTAGAAAATGCACAAAATGTTGCACTGAACCTAATCCTGACGTCATCATGATAGGAATTAAGTTCAAATAGTAACCTAACTGTTAAGCTGTTTGAAATGAGATGGTTGCCAGTGAACATGGTGAACAGCGCCTTCTAAGGCCAACTAAAATGTCTTATTGTGGAATTCGAGTTTTTATCAATTTTCTTGAAGGTAACTGAGTTGGTGATACAGACGGTAAGCAATGTCATCATGAGTACCAGCCAGACTCCTGACTCCCAGACTCCTGAGGTCTATGCTGGCAGCTCCTCAGCCATCGTTCAGTCTGTTGAGGCTCAGGTTTCCTTGACTCTGAGACAAGAGGGTCCGGTCAGTATACAGCAGGACACCATCCACGTTGAGGCGGTCAGTCTGGACCCAATGCTGGTTAGCAACGGACTCACTTTCGTGTCTGCTCCGGAGCAGGAGTCCGGACAGTCTTCACCACAAGAGGGCAGCCTTGTCGGAACTAAGGTCACGACCTTGCTGAATGCCAGTGATGACGTGCCTCAAGATGTGATAGCTTCAATCCGGTTACCGGCTAACATTTTCAGCAGTGGTAAGACTGATTTTCAGTAGAGGCGTTGTAATAACCTTGAAGAAAAATTGTAAATAAGAAGGGCTGTAAAAAGTTTTGCTTATTAAAAAATATTGGGTTTACTTTGTTTTCTACTTGATACCTTTTTGTGTCATCTGCATCCCCTGCTAGGCTTGACTTGTGAATTTCTCCAATATAAGTTTGCTAGCTGATGCCTTTAAGACAAGGTGGGCATGTCTTTAGTCTTTTTCTGACATCACTGATACCTTTTAGAAAACAGTTCCCAGCCGCTGCGGGCGAGTTTCATTGTCTACGCTGATGACACCTTGTTCAAGTCAGCGCTTATCAATGGCTCCCAAGGAAAGAACGGTTCGAGCCTCCGGGTTGCGGGGACTGTCGTCTCACTGACTGTGGAAGACATTGAGTTGGTAAACCTCACCGAACCAGTGGTCATCCAATTCAAGGTATACTTGTCTTCATAAAGCAATTGTGGAGTTCCCTATCTGGGAATCCAGTCCATCATAGACCTAAGCGTTCTAGATAATAACATTCTAATTTCGTAGTTGTGTAGGTTGCAGTATATAATGCTGAGTACTCACAGTTATAGTACAGGCTTATTTTCTTTTTTATTGTTGTTGAGTTTACAGTCCAACGTTGTATCTTATGGTCAAACAGGCACCATCCATTGAAACGGAGCGAAATAGAACCATCCAGTGTGTCTTCTGGGATTTCGATCTGAACGACAAAGTCGGCGATTGGTCGATGGCTGGTTGCTTGCTGGCAACAGAGACCAATTATACAGTGTCCTGTAACTGCTGTCATGCGACCAACTTTGCCATTCTTGTGGTATGCCATTACTTGCCATTCTTTGCCATTACTTGCCATTCTCGTGGTATGCCATTACTTGCCATTCTTTGCCATTCTTGTTGTGTGGCAACTGAAATGCTGTATTTTCCTATGCTTGTCTTAGAGGTCCTTTGAGGTTCACTACATAAAGTAAGTTGGAGAAAATAAAAATTGCATGTATTTGAGCCAAACCCCATATCCTCACAGAGAACTGAAAGTTCCCATATGTTTAAAATCTTTGGAAAAAAACACAATGTGCAGTTTCCTGCAGAGTAGAGTACTTTCAGAATTCAGTTTGGTTCTTCCAAAATAAATTTGGAGAGTTAGGGTTAAAGTGACAAATCATGGGATAAATGTTTTCAGAAGAAAATGAAAGAGATTCAACTTTGTTTACTTCAGATAATACGTTTACTCTTTCAACTTTCAAGCGCTGAGGGAAACGCTAAATGGTATGTTGATTCAAGATTTCTCTTCATTTACTGTTCTTCCTTTATCAAGGATGTCCAAGGACAGAAGGACGAACCAGATGATCCATTCCAGAAGGCGCTGGAAATCATTAGCCAAGTTGGTTGTGTCCTCTCCATCATTGCTCTGGGTATCACCTTGACTGTGTATCTTGCTATCAAGTAAGATCCTCTGTCAATCTATCTTAGAGCTGAAGGATAAGACAGCCGAGTTGTTAGAGCACCAGGTTCTTTTCATGATTGCATGTTCAAATCCCACCTTCGTCTATTTCGTAGTTAAACTGTGTATTAATTGATTAATGTTCTTACAATCAGGTCAGACTATTGTCCATGTGTACGTAGCATGGGTGGCTAGAGCTTAAAGCGCTTGCCTCTCACCACTAAGGCCTGGGTTTGATTCCCGGCCCTGATCATACGTAAATAGAGTTGTTCGTTGATTCTCTCTTGTGCCACGAGTTTTTCTCCGGATTCTCCAGTTTTCTTGCCTCTCACAGAGAAAAACAACATTTTCGATCTCTGGTTGTGCTCCGTGGTCAGACATGGGTTGTAAGGTGGCTGCCTTAGGCACCTTTTATGCATGCTGTCGGTTCGACCAACACGTTGAAGCCGCGTCCTTTGCAATTCAGCTTCTTATCGTCTTAAATCCGTTCATCCTTGCACCTTAATTCGGGCATAACATTTTGTAGTTCGTAGCAAAAATGCCACATGTGCACAGAGCCTTTTACATGATTTCCATGCCTAGATTTTGTTCCACACTAGTTATCCAACAATGTAAGCGTTTTCTGTAACCATAGGAAACTGCGAAATGGCAAATCTCGTCAGATCTTCATCCATTTCTGCTTCTCCTTGCTGATGTTGTACATCGTGTTCCTTGCCGGCGTCGACAACGCAAGGGTAAGTGTGAATTTGGCACTAGAGGCATGGTCATTCAATCAGTTTGCTGATTGTTATATTTGTATTCACCTGCTGTACACTTTTGAAAGATTAAATAGTTAACTGATAACTGAAATGCAAAAGGAATGGGTTTACAATATACTTGGGGGGGGGGGGGGGTAAAGTGATGTTCCATATTTGTTATGGTGTATAATTGTAAAGTAATTTTCTGGTTGCTGAGAAAACAAAATCACTTATTGAAGGTTTTAATTACAGGGTACTGGAGATGGCTGTGTGTTTGTGGCTGCTTTACTCCACTACTTGACTCTAGCCTCTATGATGTGGATGGCCGTTGAAGCCAGGAACATGTACGTCAGTACGGTGAAGGTGTTCCCAGAAGACGCGCCTCGATACATGCTCAAGGCTTGCCTCATCGCTTGGGGTGAGTTTATTACAATTTCTTCGGCATAATTTAATACTAGCCTATTTGAAAAGGCTAATACATGACTCACCACGAATGACGTACCTTGGCAGATGTTAACATTATCTCAATATACTGTTTTCCAGGATCTCCACTGATTGTTCTAACGATCACCTTGGCTGCAGCAACTGATCACTACAGAAACGAGCATTAGTAAGTAAAACAAATCACCAAAATAGACATCTTCTCTCCATTCTTAAAGAAGATGTTTTATCTCTAACTGTTTTCCATATATCTCCTTTCAGCTGCTTCCTCGAGCCTGATCTTGTGCTGTACCTCGGCCTCCTTGCTCCCATTGGTCTCATCGTTCTCCACAACATCATCACCTTCATCCTGGTCATGCGGAGTCTCCTGAAGGTCAAGGAGGAATCTCGCTCCCAGCAGATCTCCAAACGCCTCCAGAATGCCGTGGCAATCTCCGCCCTCATGGGCGTGACCTGGAGTTTTGGTTTCCTGGCCATCGAGGGAGCAACTTTTACCTTCCAGCTCCTCTTCTGTCTGGCCAACTCCTTGCAGGTAAATCAGGGGGAGGAAGGCAAGCCTATAATAAATCTAGTCCCAGACTCTAGTAAATCTAGTCCCAGACTTGATTTAACTGATTCAGAATGGTTATTACTACAATACCCAATGGGTCGGAGTTGGCCCATTTATGAGCCTAAAGGGATAGTCCTATACGACAGCACTGCCCAGTACACAAGCTACAGTCAGTCAATGAGTTAGTCAGTGAGTCAGTTAGTGATTGAGAATACTTGTTGTACATATATGACACTATGATAGTCTAGTCATCTCGATCTTGCAAAAATTGCCTGATTGTGAAGTCTACGGTTAAGCTTGTTGAGTTTTACAGAGCACAAACTGGAGAATCCTATCTCAGGCATTGTTAAATCTCTGCTTGTTTTCTTTGCAGGGTGTGCTTGTGTTCCTCATGTTCTGCGCTCGACGTGAGGAGGTCCGCGACGCCCTTGCACCGTTCACGAAGCGCATCTGCTGCGGCAGGGAGTTGCACATGCCAAAGCGGTCATACGACGTGGCCTTGGTTTCAAGCACTGCATCTCCATCCATCACTTCCCCTTCTAGCAGTGTCGTTACCAAATTTGACGTGTCTGCTTCTGACTTCCAGGAGGGCGTGGTAGTCCTCAAGTATAAGACATATGACCAAGACAATTGAATGTTTTCCTTGGGAAAGTGAGGGGACTAAATACACTTACATTAAATTTCATTGTTGACAAAATGCAGGATTGAAGAACGCCATATCAACTATCCGGTTCGTTAGTAAAAACGTCACGCACGCGCGTGCGCCATTACTAGCGCCCATTGGATAAACACTCAAGTTGCGTTAGCTTCCGGTTCCAATGGTTCCAATGCTACTTAATGGCAAGTGGGCGTGGTTTAAACTGAACTGACGAACGAATCGGATACATTTGACAATGGCATACAGTTGGTAAAGAATGACAAACCTTCGGATAAATAAAGAACGACCAAGTAGAAATTCAATTTAAGTTGTAACTTCGAGTCTCGACTGACTGATGAGCAAGGCATTTATCAGAGATATGAATGCGGCACACAATAATAGTTTCGCTTGATGAAATTTAATCAAGATCAGAACTGAAGGGAGTTTATCCTCTATGCAAGAATTTCTTTGAGTGAAAATGAAAAAGGTTACAAAACGCACCAGTTCTTAGAAAGGGATGGCAGGGAAAGTTACAACAAATTTTGGTATAATAACAATGTGCATGCTTCGATACAGTTCAACAAAAACATATATCTTATTCAATTACATGTATATATATGTATACTTTTAACGTTGCTGAGTGTACCTGTTAAAGACTACCTGCTAACATGAAATGCTAACATGGAATGCTTGTACATAAACTGTGAACAGTTGGGCATGCTTGCTCTGTCAGGAATGTTGTCACTCCGAGGCCTCCTTGCAAATTCGCAAGTAACCGCAATCGAATACTACGTATAAGTTAAAAAGCACGTACAAAATTCGCTGAATTAATCTTTCATTATCATGTGATTACGACTTCTCTTGGGAGCCGGGGGATGCATGATCAAAACTCCTCCGATGAAATTTTTTTCTGCGGTACAATTGGGGAACCCATATGCTTTTGTGCGGGTCGCTAATTATATACTGACTTAAATAAGGATATATGTATGTTTAGGGCTAATTGCTATGCACACGCAGATTATTGTTGATTTTAGCATATACATGTATATATTATATATATATTAGGCATACCCAAACTTCTTGTTTAACCATGCGAACAAAATAAAGATAAAATAGAATGAAATACATAGTAAAAACGTAAAACATATGTTTCCGTAAATATACATGTACTCTAAATGATATGCAGAAAATACTTAACTGTATTAAAGATTTGATATACGTAGCCTATTTGCATTGAAATTTTAAATCCGATGTACTCAGAATGATCGAATGACATCTTAATACGTGAGGTTTTAATCCACTGTACGCAGATGATTTCATCAATTTCATTGTTCATTTAATGATTATGCAGATAATTATTAATTGTAAAGATTTGTTATACGAAGCCTGTTTTTGTTAAAATTTTTAAAAGGACCCATGTAATGTGATTTGTTAATGCAGTCCTTGTAAATGCAACTTCGTGACCCATTTAACCTTATTCTCAATTTTCATTTTGCCATGTATAAGTGCATTTTGGTGTCTTTTTGGTTTTTATGCTAATCCGAATTTGCAGAAATTCAGCTGGATCAGTGTGCAAATTTATAACACTGAATGTTCAATTCGCCATGAAAAATAAAACAATGACGCAATTCAAGCATATTAAAACAAGTTCACTCTTCATTATGTATCATTTCTTCAAAGCCTACGATGGGCTATATTGAAACTAAAATGAGAAATTTCAGAAGACAAACGTAACGTGCTGTATTGCTGAAGTTCATACACAATTCTTGATTTCGTTACAAACACAGAAAAGTGTACGCACAAAAAAGCTCATGCTTGCGATATCCACAGGCCAAGGTCACGAGTTGACCATGACATTTTTGGATATAAAACACAATCTTAAATGCAGTGGTCTGCCACAAACATGTGTCAAAAACAGTTGCTAAGAATCACAGCCTTATGTAATGCTGTCGAAGAATTTCATAACATGGCAACTGTATGCATGAACTAGCAGGAGGAATTTTAAGAGAACTCCTGGGCTATATTCTGATGACAATGACTTTGATATATCCACAGCATACAAGTGTTCAATGTAAATGTCAAATATGGCCAATGACCAAAGCAAAAATGCACACTGAAAGCTCATTATATGAGCAAAATGCTCATAAAGAGCACAATACAAATGTTCATAAGAGCAAGATACAAAAAGCTCATAAGAGCACAATATAAAAGGGACGCAACATAAGTACCGACAAATGCAGTACTGTAATATGGCAAGATGTTACAAACCATGCAAGCCACCAGGATACCTGATGGGAAAAACGCCCAAAAAGCTCACCATGGAGCAAAAGACTGACCAAAATCAGTCAAGAGTGTGCGTAAAAGCTCCACCGGAGCACAAAGCCACAACGGGCTGTAATGGCAAGGAGTTTCGCATATCAACCTGGAACCAGTTTATAAAAAACTGTAAGGGCTCCCCGGGCTCCGCAGTATGTTTTGTTTTTGTTTGAGAAACCAACGCACAACATTATGATTTAGCTGGTGAATATATTGCGGAGTGACCAGAAAAGGTTTATTGCTTTACTCCTACAAATGAAAGAACTGAAAAGGGCTCACTGTAGGCCTCAAATGAATAAACATAAAAGAACGCTGAACAAGTTGCTGTGAAAAACATGACCACAGAAATGTGGAACCGCACCTCTCGCCATTATATTTACAGTCGAACAAAGCGACACGCCCAGGAGTCTCATTTGTGAAATATTTGTGAATGCAGTGCAAAAACGTAGGCCTTCAGTTGTCGCCCTTCATGTACAAAACCATGCATGTCAAGTATGATTCGGAGTAGGCTGCTGCGCTACTCAGTCGGCATATTCGATTGTAATTTTGCTTGCGGTTTCGTACAGGCTAGGCCTACATGCCTATCGCCTTTGAATGAATGATAAATAAAACACTGAACATAGACCAATAATGATATTAGGCCTATAACTGTATAAGAGCAATGTTTAAAAGGCCTACAGCCATGGGCAGAGTTTCATGTCAGCACGTACATGTAGTTCAAAACGAGTCTTGTGCCGTGCCGTGTTTCAACTGGCAAGCCGGTCGGCGGCGCGGCCCGGCCGAAGCAAAACGTAAATTCAATACGAAAACAGCACGTTGGCACTGAACAAAAAATTGCCCCAAAATACGGGCTGTTATTGGAAATTCCTCACCTCGAATTCCACCAATCTTGGTGCTATCCAAGCCACGATGAACCACAGGGGAGAAAAACATCACAGAATACAGCAAGACGGTTGTAGATTTGTGTAAAAACACCTTAAGTTTCATGGGCAAAACATTCGCCTTTTCTCCGGTCAGAGGTGGAATCGAGAATGACGCGACGCCAAACTATTGCGTGCTATTTACATGTACACGAAAGAACTTTACACCAATTACCGCCAGTTATTCACGCATTCAGCAACTTTTAAAACTGTGTAAAGGCCTGTAAAAGCAAACCAGCAAATTTATTTGTTAGGGACCATTCAAAAGACTGTCAATGTTTTTGAATTTGAATTTCTTTTCCAAATTGTGGGTGGGTGGGTCAAGGTTAATAATTGAAAATCCAAATTCACTTTTCATTAAAAAAGCAAGAAAAAAACAAAAAAATCTAGATATTTTGACTTGCCCATGCACCGGCGTTCCTTGCGTGCATTTGTTTTCCAACTTTGTCCCCAATACAAACCGACAGTACAGACGGGCCTGTTGTACATGTACTGTGTGTACATGAGTATTTACACACCGGAAATCGTGGATCAAGGACAAAAAGGTAAGGACACAAACAATACGTCCACAATATTGACCGATAGTCCTCGATTGAAATGTGTGTACAAAACCAAGGGAGTCCACGACTGCCGGTGTTTACAAATGTGTGCGCTTGCAAGCGCATGTATTTGGATTTTCGATACTGCATGACAAATCACATTTTTCAAATCGAACATAGGGATGGGTAGGTGGGTCAAAACAATTTGGAAAAGAAAAATCCAAATTTAAAAAAAAATTGAGAATTTTGAATGGCCCCTTACAGGATGTTATAGTCCTTTAAAGGGAATGTACATGTACACCATTGGCTTTTGCTGTAATTTTCAGAAATGAAGTATTTGGGGGGTTAGTCTAATAGATCCAAATTTTGTTACACTGACATGTTTGAAGTACGGTGTTCTAAAATGCTGGAAAAACCAAGAAAAACACAAATGTTCAAGTAGTCTGGTTCCTTGACTCAACTAAAGATGAAATAGATCAAAAATGCCGGAAAATTGTAAGGTACCCAGTCTAGCTGGCGTGCACCCGTTCATGAACATGGAACCAAAAGCAAACAAAATTTGGACTGAAAAAACCCACAAAACCAAAGGTAAATTAGGAGCAGTAGTTGAAGAATAGTTCGGTTTTTCCAACGGTGGTCGGCCGAACACCGTTGGAAATGTATACAAAAGTACCATTTCTTTCTTGAAAATGACTTCACACCAGGAGCCATAATTTTACAGGATGCTTTGGACTGCCAGTTACCAACATCCTAGTACGGTATTTCGTAACAACTTAATAGTTTTATTTTTCGATGTGAGCCAATGTTGTATTTTCCCTTTAAATTTCGTTCGGAAAAGATAATCTCAATTTTTGAAAAAGCAGGTATAGGCCGTCTACACACCAACTTTAAAAAATGTCATACTTTATGAAATGTGTGCGTGACGATGCAGTATTTCGATTATCGCTCAAAAATAGTTGCTGGGGGAGGGGGCGGGTGTTGGGTGTGTTGCAGAGTGGCAAATTGCAACCGGCTAGAGATTTTAAGAGCGAGCCAGGCGGGGACGCGTGACTGAGCAAAATCGGCCCGGCGACATCGGCTGTCGGAAAAAGCGTGTCACGTCAGTCGGCAGGGATGAAGAGCGCCACCTACTGTCCGAGTGTCCATGAGTGTCCGCTTTTAAAAGTGACCAAATTGGTGCAGTAAACTTACCCATGATGAGTGCCCCAACTCCAGAAAGTCA